TATTTTTTAAAATTTTCTATTTTTGTTTGCATCCTTAATTTGCTTTTACTCAATAAACTTAATGTTCAATGTGATTTTATATCTGCAATAAATTATAGTTTTATGCATTTTGACTGCTGCATGGCTATTTATTTTCCCTGTATGCATGGCTGTTCCTCTCTCAAGCTATAATTTTATCATCCTGTATTTTTTGGCTTCTTTTCTGAGAAAACTGCTTTGCTTCTATTGCTTTCTTTGTACACAAGCATGCGTAAAAATATGACTGTCAAGGATGCAAGTAAGGTATGCATGTTCCATTGTAAAATCAGATTTTTACTTTACTATGATCTTTTTCATCTTTGTTTCAAGTTGTATCATTATCTTTTCTCTGTCTGACTAATGCAGGAAAAATCTGGAGACTCCAAACCTAGTGATGAAGAATGCAGACTTCAGAGCATTCAAGCAAGCCTGAAAGAAAAAGAATCTCAGCTGGTTGCATGCGAGCAGAGACTAGAAGCAAGGGATAATCGCATTCAAGAACTTGAACAGGAAATTCAGTCATTAAAAAAAGAATGCGCCATAATTGCTGCCAAGAACAATGGGAATTCTGAAGTAACCTGTAATGACCAATCACATGAGAATATAACAAAACAGCTCGTGGATAAAGAAAAAGAGGTTGAAAATCTCAATATGGAACTGAGAAAGAGAACTTTTAATCTGCAAGTAAGTATACTAGTTTTGTAGAAACAAAGTTGAATCTAATTTTACATTGATTCATTAGGCTTACACAAATGCGTAATTTTCATAGGAGTTAGTTAACAAAGAACTTTGGGACAAAAACAAACAAATTGAAAGACTAGAGTTGAGACTTGCTTCTCAGGGTGCCGTCTGTGATCGTAAGGAGCTTGATTTAAAAGAAGCAAAACGTAAACTTGCTGAATTTGGAGTGACAGTTACATCTATCTCCCAGGTAAGTGAACCATCTATCAAGGTTTCTATTTACTAATTTTGAATGTTTTGGTCTCCATTACTCAATTTTTGGTTCTGCATTTCTATCTTTTCTACAGCATAGTGCTGACATTACTTCAGATGATGTGTCAGAACTCCAAGAACAACTGAAAATTAGTCTGGAAGAACAGATGTATTTAAGTAGGGAAGTGGATAATTTAAAAGCACGTTTAAGGAATACCCCTGAACGAGATTCTGAGAGTGTACGCTTGCAAAGGCTTCTTGAGGAAAATAAGAAACTCAAAGTAAGATGTCCTTAAAATATTTATTATTAACATGTAGCCTTAATTACTAATGCAGTTTGTTTCTGTGTGCATTACTAAAGCAAACCAAACTTTTTTTGCAGATGGTAGAGGCATATAGTAAACTATGGCGAAGAGAGGCATCAAAAGCACTTTCAGTGTTGCGAACAAGACTTGAAGAATTAGCAGTTTTTATGGATGAGTTGCTTCACCAACCAGCCCTTTTAGTTGGTCTTGGTGCTGAAAGACAGCAGATTTTGCGCACTGCAATCAATGGCAGTTTGGAACTAAGCCGTACAATTGCTAATCTGAGCAATGATTCTTTGCCAGACGATAGTTGCTCGCATTTGCTTTGTACTGATAGCAATATCTCTCCTTGCAATTTTTCACTTGAGGTATGGAATAGAAGCATATTTTGAGGGTAGAGTTAAGGCTTAATTTTTTGCATTAATAATATTAACTTTGTTTTAAGGATGCCGAGTTTTCTCAAATTTTTGAATCGGATATGAAGTCTGATAAAACTCTTAATGCAACTAATGAAGGTAATGTGAGTCAGAAAAGTGTGCAATCTCTTAAGCAAATCAACCAGGCTCTTGATGCCTCTTTTGAAAGTAAAGTGGTTCAAACATCCTGTACTTCTCTTAGTAAGGTGAGTAAGTGTGCATACCGGTAAATCATCAAAGACCCTATGTTTAAATCAACTATCTTGTTTCAAGAAATTCTGTGACACCTCTTTTAATCTTATAGGCACGAAGACGCTCTAGGTCACATCCCCAAAGCAATGTACAAAAAGATGCTCCTACCAATCTCAATGCAGGCTCTCAATCTGATTCTGAATCTTGGTCTGAGCCTGATCGCAGTGTGTCACAAGCTCGCATGGGAATTCACAATGAGAGTTCAAGGTACGATTTCCAATATTATTCATCACTGAATTACTAATGTCTGTGTCATCTTTGACCACTAGAATTAGTTATACTGTTAAGGTTTCTAACTATGATTTTATATCCTCTAGGACTATATCGAGTGTAGCTAGCACAGTGCGTAGAGTATCACTTGGGGGTCAGTCAAGCTCAAGCTCATGTGGTTCTAAAAACCAAGTGAAACCATCCAAACGAACCTCGTTCAAGGAAAATACAAATGCTGAGCACCATCTTGTAGCCCGTACTCAATGCCTTGAGAAACTCAATCAAGCAGTTGAAAACGAGCTTCATGTTGGAGGTTTGCCTCCAGTCTCAACACATCCCCAGCTAGAAAATAAAAGCTGTCTGAGCCCCACAAATGAGGTAAGTTCTCTTTTTTAAGATATCTGTGCTGAAGTGGAAGTGATAAGACTTCTTAGTAACCACATGCAGTACTCTATCCTCCCAGTATTTTGCAGCATGTGCATGTATTTAGTATCCCTTCTTGCAGTATATTGTCTGTGTCATGAAAATCTGTAACTACTAAAATTAGTCGTACTGTGAAGGTTTCTAGTTCTAACTTTATTCTTGCCAGAGCTATCTTTCTTGTTGTTTGACATACAGAGGCATTTGTATTTTTTAATAGAAATGTTGCATGTTGACCTGTAATTAGCTGCTAAAAAATTAATATTCAGGAAGATTTTGATTTTTGTCCTGTTTTTGTTGTGCATGCTCGTGTATTTTTGAATTATCTTTATCGTAGGATTGTTTTGTCCTAGGTCCCTATTTGCTCCAGTACTCTTTCTAAGTACAGGCATTGCAGCTGTCCTGTAGTGAAATTGTGGACCTATCCTAAGTCTGTTTAACTGTTAGTGTAGAAGGTATGGCTTAGTGGCATTATTGCTGGTTTTCTTCTAATGGTCTGTTTTTGGTGTGAAGCTTTCCTTATGGTCCAGTCTCTCTTTCTATTTTTACTGTTTTGGTGTTGTATCTGTACCTTTACATGTATTTGTAGAAATTTGTTCTTTCCATTTTGGTGAATTGCATAAAAATAATTTTAAGTGTGTACAACTCCATTTAATGAACTTACTCACTTTGAACAATTTTGACTTCACAATTGGAAATGGTGGTGGTCTTGCATATTTCTGTTAACTGTTTCAGAGTGCAATAGGGTCAAGTAATTTGTGGGAACGGCTGGATTGGGAAAGAAATGCACGTAAAGCATGGCAACAGTGTGCTGCACACAGGTTGCATCAGCTACAGGTGTGCTCTTTACTACTACCTCTCTCATTTCTAACATAAGTTCTTTTAGTGCCCCTATATGCCTGTTCAAGTAATGACCATGTCTGATTCTCATTTTGCTTTGCTCTTCATAGGTTCTCTCTAAAGCCAATGGTACACTGTCAGAGAAGGTCATCCAACAAGAAAGATTACAGAAAGAGCGCCAAACAGAGTTCTTAGATATGAAGTTTGCGGTTGTTGAAATGAATCAAAATGCTGAAGAAAAGCAAAATATATCTAGTCATGTATTACGGGGCTTGGAAGAGAAAGTTCAAGAGCTTAGTGTGCAGGTACGTAATAACCACTTTGGCATTTTGAAATACATAAATAAATAAATACAGTAACAAGAAAGCAGCAGACTTTATTATTACTCTCATTATTACTCTCATCATTAACTTTTTATAATCTAGGTGTTGGAGGTTGAAGTCCGACGAGAACAAGCTGAGCAGGATGCCCAACAAGCATTAGAAGAGAAGAACCAGCTTCAGAGGGATCTTGGAGCCAAACTGGCTGTTGCAGAAAGGGAACTAGAGCAGTCCAAAAGGGAGGCGACAGCTCTGCAAGCTAGTGTCCAGCAGTTGTTAAATAAGAAATATGAACTAGAGAAAATGACAAAATTGTGGAAAGAGAAAGCTGAGGATTTAGAAAAAGAAGTGGAAAAATGGAAAAGAGTAGCTCAGCAGTGTGAACTTGAAGTCAAAGAAGTTCATACTCAACTCTCTCACAAATTCAAAGAAAAAATCTTATTGCTTGAAAAACTAAAAAGTAATGCCGAACAGAGAGCTGAAGATTGGCTTAATAAGTTTAATGAAGCTGAGGCAAACTACACTGAGGTTGACCGCAGAGCTAAGGAAAAGATTCGGTTAATGGAAGAGCAGTTAAAATTGAAACAAGCAGAAATTGAACGTCGTTCTGAAGAACTTCAAGAAAAGTTGAAAAGAGACGCTGAGATTCGAGCATCGCGGAAACTGGAAAAAATAGTCGAGCAGCGAATGGCTGAATATGATCTAGAGTCTCGTGCTGCCAACTCCAAGCAGATGCGTGATATGGAAAATGCCTACTTATCTCGTATCAATGACCTTGAGAGAAAAAGTGCCAGTGCTGCATCTGACAGCAAAAGGCAAATTCTTGATTTGGAGGAAAAAGTTAAAGTAAGTTGTATGGAATCATCCATTGAGAGTATGAAAACAAGTTTCATTATAACTGTATACTATGATATCCTAACTTATTTTATTACTTTTATTTTAGGTTGAAGAGAATGTACTTAAAGAAAAGTTAGGAAATGCTGAAGGAGATAGTGATTTGCAGCGCCAGTTAAATGAAGCTGCCGTTGCTGTCTCTCAATCTCAATTAGAAACTGCTCGACTAGCAAATGAAAAACTTCAGCTGGAACAACAAGTTCGATGGCTCCAAGGAGAGGCCATGAGAGACCGGCGGCAGCTGCATGACCAGCTTTCTCGCAAGGTAACAATTTTACACATATTGCTTTTACTCTTGTGTAAATGTTTACATAAATAAATTATGTTGTGTTCAATTTACTATTAACTTGTTATTTTCCCGAAGAAGATTTTTGTGATTCATTTTGTCTTTTCAATTTATTTTTTAGATACAATCTCTTACTCAAGCCAACACTGATCTTCAGAAGCAAGTTCGTGACTTAGAGCGTGGAGTTCATGCAAATCAATATGCCAGACGAAAAGAATGCGCAAGTCAGAGTTGTGGAAGTGGCTCAGAAGGTAAAGTGTTGACCGAAATAACCAATCTGAAACACTCTAACACCGATGTATCAGCATCAGATTATGTATCAGAACAAGAGGATCATGTTTATCCTGTAAGTAAATGTAACAAATAAAGTCATAACTGTTACTACTTCAATGCGATTTCATGATTGTTTATGTAATTTTCAGGAGAGTAGCAATCATGGCTGGTACAGAGAAGCCCCTCTGTCTCCACCAGCAGTTCTGCTTACAGCTGATAGTAACACTGTATCAGTGAGAAATGGGCGCATCACTACAGCATCTCCAGATCTTGGCATTGAAAGTGATCAGGGACGTTTCTCTAGTCTTGAGCCTTTTCCCATTAAAAAGTCAACTACAGCTCCTGCTCTGAACTCAGGAGAAAGTGTTTCAAGCAACTTTCAGCTGAAAAGTAAGTTGAGCAATGAAACAAACATCAAATCTCTACAGTCTTTTATTCGTAGTTTTATACGTCAGCAGTTTTTTTTGTTTTTTTTTTATTTCTTTTCTTCTTTTTACAACCTTTTTCTTTAACTTTTCTACAGAAAAACATCAATTGGATTACAAGTGTCTGGAACTAGAAAATCAAGAGCTCAAACAACGACTGCTTCACACTAGGCAGACTTTAGAACAAACCTATGCTCAACTAGCTTCTGCAAATCAGCGGAAAAGGCTTGTTGAGAAAGCAATTTGCAAGCAGCTTCACAAAACTCACCACATTTTGCGAAGAGCCAGAGATAATTTCGAAACAAATGCTTCAGCAAATCCTCAACCTGACGAAGATAATCTTCAGTGTACTGATACTGTTTAGAATGTGTATTTTATTCATATTTTCATTTTACAGTACTAATCTGTGACAAGATTTTGTGCTCACTTGACTGTGATGTTATCAACATAAAAGAATTATGTATTCTAT